CATTCCATTTGATCAAATCTATAAAGAAAAGGAAAATCCGATCGACGCACGCACACTTTAATAATTCTCATTCATATTAAGTCAGGCAGGCACATCAGTACGTATGTGATACTAAAATGATATTATTGGTAACACTAAACATTAAATCTCATTAATCAATGAACAGAGACATGCATGAAAATATAACCCTCCCTATATATTCGATATTTCAATTGACACTCGGAAGGAAACGGGAGCATAATGTTGAACAAAACAATAACAAGCAGAAAGAAAAACAGCGTATTACAAAAGAGAAAACACCGAAGACAACCATCACTGCCGCTAATAACATCACTAACATCACGACAATAACAACAAATCCGAGCCCTCAGATCAACAATAACATTGTTGGAAAAAGTGAAGTGATCATTAATGAAGCTTATGTGGCTGACAGTGAGGGTCGCATTACTTTCCTGAGAAGGTGAGGAAAAATTAGATGTTTAATAAAAATCGGTCTTTCTTTTTTGCAAAGAAAAACCAGAGGAGTTTTAATTGAATTAGAGTGAATAATAGTTGTAGAGTATTTATTATCATTTCAACAAAACCAAATAAGAAAGTCACGAGGAAGAAAAGAACATGGGTAACACCAGTCACTATTTATTTGTCACGAAGGTGACACTGGTGCGCAAAATTCCACAATTCCACGCATACGAATGTCGAAGGAATTCACAAACCTGCTCACGGTATGCCATATACGGAATTTTCATCGCACATCATGATTTCAAGCCATCCATTCGTGCCAATCTGCAGCGTAATAAAGATGATGCATCTATTTTAAGCATATTCGATTTTCAATATTACCATAACACATACATGTATACTACCGATTTCTCGTTTTTATTCCGCGGTTGCACATATTGTATTGTATATACAGTACTGTAAATTTTTATTTTTTTTTTATTGCGTTACGTCATTAAAAATATTAAGTTACCGTGATTTATATTAATTAATGATGTACAAAGTTTTATTTAACAAAGAAATCATAAAATAAAGATTGCTTGCTGTGTACATAATGTAAGTTTTGTTTTTTTTTGTCCACAAAGTATTTATTTATTTCTAAAGGGAATCGATTTTGGAATTCTTGCGTATTCCCGGTGTCATCTTTTTTATTTTCTAATTTCACGGGTGCCTACCAATTGCCCGGGAAAATATTATTTTGGAATCAATTGCACTCACACGCCCCTTGTTTGTCGTCTGACTACAAATTTTTTCTTACTACAGTTATGAAGATTATTTGCGCGACCGTATGCGAAGCTATTTTTAGAAATTTTTTTGTAGTGTAACACGCAATACTGTGGCATATTACTAATATCTTTTGCATATAAAATAAGTAATGATTTTTCATTGAGTATATCGGATCTTCATACCCGATTTATCTAGAAACGTGGCAAAGTTAAAACTTGTTAGTAATTACGTAAAGGTTTTACCCCTTAAAATTAAATTATAACAATTCGTCATAGTGGCGGAAAACTTTTCCTACCCGGATTTTAATAATATTTCGGTTAATTTTTTTTTTTCTAATAACGATCAAACAAAGCGCTTATCTCGACGTATGTTCATGATGACATGATACATGGCACGTAGATTGATGCGTGAGTTGCGTTTCATGGTTCTCCTTGAAGAGGCGACTAAAGCAAAAAAGGAAAAAGTTAATGAATGAATGAATGAGCATTGATCAAAACCCTTAAATCGTTTAATATATTTGTTAAGTGCGTTTTTTAAAAAAATGTTAACTTTATTAGAACATAAGAAATTCAATTACCGAAATTTAATTCATTGAAAGAAGAAAAACAAAAGGTAACCTCATGAAGCAACTACAGTATTACGTATAATAAATAATATAAACAATAATTATCCGCGTATCTATACACGCTACATTATTTCCAAATGGGGTAACAATAATATTTTAATTGCTTGGTACATTTGCTTTATATTCATTCAGTCGATTGTAAATTATTAATTTATAAATGAGATTCCCTTTTTTTTTTTAAAAAAATAAATTTATACGTAAATATATATTTACTGCATTATTTAAATACAGTATATAAAATGAAAGTTACTAAAAAAAAAAAAAAAATTTTTTTAATCATTCTATAATATAATTTATAATATATTGATAAATAATTGATTGTAAATAAATAATAACCAATTTGTATAATAATAATTAACTTGCAATATTCTTGATATTTTAAATATATAAATATTTATATTTATTTAAATAAATAAATATCATCACTTTATAAAATAAAATAATAAAACTCTTTTCTTGATTTTCTTGCCAACTCAAAAAACAAATGTGTCAAAAAATTTTTATATTTTTCTGTAATTGATTCTATTTACTTTTCTTAATAAAATCATTATCAAAAAATTTTAATCTTTTTGTTTTTTTTTTTAAAAAATAAATTTTTGTATTTTTGCAAATAAATATAATAAAAAATCTATTTATTAAATTAAAAAATAAAACTATTTTATTAGGAAAAACATATTAAAAAAATTTTATAAAACATTAAAATAAACATTAATTAATTTAAAACAATTATAATGAATATTATAATAATAATATCAATTAAAAAACTATAAAAAAGAATTAAAGAACAATAAAAAAAATTAAAGAAAAATAATATATATTATTATAAAATTACTTATTCTATTACAATATTAATCCTGTAATATAATATAATATACAGTATATTAATTATTTTTCTTATTTTTATATTATATTATATATTTTGACCTGTGGATTTATAGCACAATGATTAGTGCTTCACAAGTCAGATCACAAGATATCAATTCAATCTCATGTGAAGGCAATTGAATAGAATTAATATAGTATTTGGCACTATAACCAATTATATACTGTTTTCTATAAGAAGTTATTTCATATGCTTATCCAGCAGGTATTGAAATTGTGATCTTTCTATTAAAAAGTAGTGATGTAATGATTGTCTGGAAAATGTTACAATAATTGTCTATAAAAGGTACCACAGAACCACCCATACATTTGGATGTACAAATTGGACTATACTTCATTTTAATCAGTTCCAAACTGCTATTTTTTCTACTATTGACTGCTGAATAAGAATGTTTTGAAAAAAATACTAAATAATATTGAAGTCTTGTGTAATATAGCTTACTGTACAGTTTATGCTTATAGGAGTTGCGTCCTATTTGATATTTATACCCTTAGATTTAGCAGCCAACGCCAACCAGTTCCAAACTGAAGTGTTTATTAAAAAATAAAGAACTTTGGGAGCTTGTAACCAACTATGGCCTGTATAGTCCTTAGAAGTCACACCCCACTTGGCTACAAGAGCCCTTAGATTTGACAGCTAGCACCAACTAGCGGATCAAAACTGAAACATTCACTAGAGAGTACAAGCATCATATTGTCGGTACCCCTTTGTCACAGGATAAAGGTGCAAAGAGGTGTGATATAATAAGTAACTTAGGAGATAGTCAGCAGTATCATCTGCCCTTATACAAAAAATTGAACCGGTAAGTTAGATGGTTTAAAACTAGTGATAGGATTTTCATCCCCTAAATAGATTTTCCCAAAAAATATAAAATCACTTTATGAGTATTAATAGTATTACTGAAATATTAAAAAAATAAGATATACTAGTATTAAGCTGTAGTTTACCATTACAGAAAATGTTTGATATAATTGTGGTATCATATATATTGTTAGCATAAAAATTGTAGTAGGGGGACATGACGTGACATGTGGGGCCCGGCACGGTACCGCATGGGGAATCGATTATGCATCAATCCTGTATGACCAATGAGCGCAGAGTTTGTCAAAGTTTGGTAATTCTGCATTACGCGACGATAGATTTAGAGACGCATCGCAATCATGTATAAATAGCAACAGTATCCAATTATAATGTATAGGTCGTGATAGACAATAAAATAATGAATTAATAAAAATCCAATTGTGTGCTAATGCAACGATAATTAATAAACTTACCATATTTGTCTCTAGTCGTCCTAGAAAGAATCCACAAGCCCTGCAGTTTGGCAGCGAAGGATTAGAAGAGGAACCAACCTAGAGAAGAGGAAGATAAAGATAATTATCACCACACGTACCTTTGGTATTGCTAGTGACATAGATCCACTCTCTCAACGTCATACGAGTCTTGGTTCAGATTAATGACAGACTTGCCGTTGAGAACAACAATATCAATAAACAGTTGATATCTAATGCCTGTTCTATAAAAAAAAATTATATTATATATTTTAAAGTAAATAAATATCATTTCTTTATTTTTTATTTATATGATAGTACACATATTTAAAAAGAAACAATATCTTTTAGGTATAAAAATATACAATAAATTAAATACTGACTTGTAATTATTTTAAGTCATGGGTGGTTTTTTATTTTTTTGTTTTCTTTATATTTTTAATAAAACTGATATATTGTAGTAGAGTTATATTTATACTTAATACTATTTTTACTATACTAAGGTATTTGCTCAAACTCAATATATTTTCTTTATCTTTATCAGTTAATTGGATATAAGTGGGTATTATTTTTTCAAAAAATTTTTAAATATTATATTTAAAGAGATTAAAAAAATAAATAACAAAAGGATAGATATTAAAAAATAATAAAAGAGGAAAATGTTATGTTTTAATTTATTGTATTTCTTTATACATAAATTGGATCTTACTTTTTAAGGTGACTGTACAATAAATATAAAATCAAAATATATTATCATAATTAAAAAATACTATTATATTTATTTTTAAAAATTAAATATATTTTATATTTACTATATATATAATAAAAATACTTTTAATTTATTAAAAATAAATTTAAGCAAAAATAAAACAAAATTTTTAATTATTATTAATGAATAATTTTTTAATAAAAATTAATAAATTATTAAAAATTGCAACTTATATTATTTAAAAAATGCGGTTTTGCTATTTTGAAAAAAAAAATAAACTCAAAGATAATAGTTTTTTTTAAATCTTAACTTTTATTTGGTTTTTTTAAGATTTTTTAAGATATATTATTAGAATAATTGAATAACATATGCAGTATATAATATATTTTTATTTTAATAATAAATATATAAACCTAAAATTTTTATTTAATAAAATTATATGATCTTATTTAATAAACAAATAAATCAAGTAACTACATTTCAAATTTTCTTTATATTTTAACTTTATTTTGTCTATAAAAAATAAACATTATATTTATTTATAATTAAATTTTTAAAACATAATTAATATCTTATTATTTAAGCATTTATTACATATAGTATGGGACAAAAAAAAAATTTTTTATTTAAATTTTTATTTATTATTTATCAAATTTTTTTATTTATGTCCAAATTCTACAAAGCAAACAGTAATTTTAATATGATTTTATATTGATTTTGCTTTGATACAAAAGATTTTTAAAAAAATGATACAATAATTTAAATTGATTTTTTTAAAAACATTATTAATAAAACTTAAAATAGTTTTAATAAAAAATTATTTATTAAATAATTATAAAATTTTAATAAAAAAGATTTAGTGCCAGTTTTTTTGTCCCAAACTATGTATTTTTTACTGAAACTTTTAATAATTATTAGTTTAATTTTTTTGATTTCTTATTTGTTTATTAAATAAACTTATTTTATTAATTTGTAAAATAATTAACTGTCAAATAATTTTGATTTATTTTTATATGGTGTTACAGGTAATACAGCGTAGACGTGTGACGCGATATCGCGTTACGTCAGCTTGTTGTTGCGAACGGAGAGAAATTAAGGTGGGAAAATTAGCGTGGTAAAGTTTAGCGGCGGGAATTAATAGAATAGTGTAGAATAGAAATAGGATGTAACATGTAAACAATAGGCGCATGTATAAATACATGCGCAAATCAGTACCATGTAGAGGAGAGTTGCGAAGAAAGTTTGGTTTAAAACATATTAAGTTATAAACAATAAAGTAACGTTTAAAGAGAAACTCTTACTTTGTGTTTAGTGTGCCAAATGTAACTTGGGCTACGCGACTACAATAGAGAACCGATGTTTGCCTAAGGAAATTGGCATTGGAAGGGTTCTAGGTTAGTCGGTAGAGAAGTTAAAGTGGAGAACGTCAAATCGAAGAACACGTCTCAGGAGTTAAAAGAGAAACTTACCTTGTTGTTAACCGAGCGTAGCAAGAAGCATTGTAGGCTTTCCAGATAGCCCACGACAATAGATTTACGGGTTTTAATGGTGAATTGCGTATAATCTGAGTATTAATGGTAATAGATATTAATCAGAAAAAATTCATGATAAATACAAATATATACAGTATCCCTAGCATAATGAATATCAAAAAAAAAATTTTGTTTTTATTTGAAAAATTTAATGTTTTTTAAAAAAATTAATTTTTATCAGAATTCAAAAGTCAATAATATTTTATTTATATCAAATAGGTTAATGATAATAGAATTTATTGGAACATGTTTATTTAAAGAATATTTTTAATCCATAATTTTGAAAATAGTAATTAAAAAAATGATATTCAGTAAAAATTTTTTTTCGAACTAAATTAATAATCATTTGTATTTCCTTTTTGTTGGGTGCCTTGAATAAATTCCGTTGAATTTTTTGGCTCTGGAAGGTCTTTAAAGTCGAGGAGTTGACTAGTATATATCGCGGATGGATGTATTTTTGCTGCATTGTGGACAGTAAATGATTTCATTTTTTCACTTCGTTTAATTTGCTTAGCAAACGTTGAATTTGGATATTTCCTATAGTTACGCCAAGCATCTAAAATCGCACACAAATCATGTGCTTGTAATCGGTTTTGTGGTTTGGCATCCCAACATTTTTGCATCAGACAAATTACTAATTCAGGCAGGTTGCTTTGAATTTTAGGTCGATGTCCATCACAAATTTTAATAGCCAAATATTTGTCGTGTGGTACGTCATTAAAAGAAGGAGTACCGGATAATACTTCAGACATAATAATACCAAATGAATAAATGTCTGCTGCCTTCGAATGCTCCTTTCCGTATAATACTTCGGGTGCTACATATGGAAGTACACCATACAATTTTCGCTCTTTGACTCCGCTAGTATATTCAGCAGTTTGTATGGACCACCCTATATCTGTTATATAAGGACATTCTTTACGCGATAAAAGAATATTCCCAGTATGTAAATTTCGATGATCCAATCCAGCTTCATGCATTTGCCGTATACCCTTTGCGATTTGAACTAAAATATTAAGCTTATTATGCCAAGGCTTTTTGTAAACTTGATATAGATTATTTCTAACATTTCCATAGTCTGAAAATTGCATAACAATCATAAAATTATTTGTTTCTTCGTGTCGAGTAAATCCATAACACCTTGTGATACGAGATCCTTCGTAGCAAAGATTCTTTGTCTATATGTAAATAGCAGTTAAAAAAAATACATTATTAAGAAAATAATTTGTTAATAATCACCTCATTTAAAAATGATTTGGTTATATGTTGTGAATAATTGAGATGTTTTAGTGCAACTTTTGTTGCTCCCCTCCTTTTCCACCGAATTTTTCTTGATTCCCAATATAAAACAAATCCTTCAATCCATTGTGCAGAGTATATTTCACCAAAACCACCTTTGGCAACATATCTCACATTCTTAAACTTTGAATATGGAATCCACTCAAGAATACCGGATCTATTAGTTGCTGTTAACTGCGTTTCCTTTATAAATGCATCGATATTGTTGTTTCCACTTTTCCAGGTATCAAAATTTTGTTGAAAACGGTAAGAATTACAAGGCTGACACCAATAACGGCCTGTTGTCCTCTTATGGCATTTTTTGCAAGTTCTTGCTATAATAATAAGTTTCATTTGATAAATTACAATAAGTAATATCATTAAATCTCATTTTATATGAATTTACGAAATAAATAACACAAAATTCCTATATTTACTCACCATCTACAATAATACAATCGCAGTTTATATTATTTTACGAAACAATTAACAAAATGTCCTAGATTTAACTTACCTCCTATACCTGTAGATAGGGATGTTAAACAGTTTAAATTAACCGGTTCGGTCTTTCGAACTAAATAAGCCGAACCTAAACTGGTAATTTAACCGGTTCGATTATATAATACAAACTAATAAAAAAATTTTTATTTATATAATATCTTCTATTAAAAATATCGTGTAAAAAAATCAATACAAAATAAACATAAAAATATAAGTATAAAAATTCTAACATATTTTTTTATCTAATTTTTTTCTTCTTCCCTTTTATATAAACAATCTTCTATACCCTTATCAAATAATTTCGTTGTAAACCAAGTTTTAAGACAAAGTGTTGCACGAGCCTTTTTTGAGTTTAAGCGATTTCTTGTTGGATTTAAAGTAAATTTTGCTATACTAAACATTTGTTCACTTGCTACACTTGTTGCTTGAATCACCAAGTAATCACGCGCCATACGAGCAAGAGGAGCCCATCGAGGATCACTGGATTTAGCATTCCAATAGACAAGAATATCAACATCTTCGACAGGCGAATTAAGATATTCATTAAGAGGATCACCATTATTTGGAAATATTTTATATGTTTCTTTAAAATGGTTACGGAGAAAGCCATGTAAAGATTCAGAATTGAAGGATACCTCTTCCAATATATCATTTTGTGTTGCATAGTTTGCTTGGTAAGTTGTATGGATTATATTTCGTGCTTCATGCTTTTCTTTATCGGATCTAAATGGTGTTAACTTATTATTAGGATCAAGAATTGTAGCTTCTTGAAAAACTGATTTAAGTTCCTCCCAATATTTATTTAATTTTATATTCATCTTATCAGCCATTCGTTTTTGTATTGTATTATTTTCTTGTTGAGCTTTATGTATAATATCTGCGATAACAAGAAATACCATACGAAGATCTCCAAAAGTAGGATAACTTGATGCGGATAAAAGATTTGTTGCTTGATAAATTGGTTCGAGTAAGGTAATAAGTATCTAAGAAAAAAATTTATTATTAATATATATATTTTTTAATTATTTTATTAATTTAATACTTACATCTATTTCTTTCCAATCCTCTTCATTCGGATATAGGTTTTTCAACGATGGATTAAATGTAATTAGAATTTTTGTTATATCATGGATTTTGTGTAATTTTTTCATCATTAAATAGGTTGAATTCCAGCGGGTATTAACATCAATCTCAGGTACCAAAAGAGGAAGTTTTTTCATCGCAAATATTCTTTTTAAATCTTCAAATATAACTTGAGATGAACGTATAGCTATAGAAAACTCCCGAACTTTTGCAATTAGTGCTTTAGCTTCTTCAAGACCATTCCTTACTATTAGGTTTAAAATATGTGCAGCACATCTAATACGATGAAATGATGTATTGCCATGGTTATTAGATAGAAGTTGAGAGAATTTATGTTCAAATAAATTCATATTGGAAGCATTATCAGTAGTAATCGCTATAATTTTTTCACAAAGATTAAAATCATTAATAACAGTATAGATAATGTCTACTAATACGGTGCTTGTATGTCTTTCATGAAGAGATATTAAATCAAGTAGAATACGGTTCATTTTCCATTTATCGTCAATCCAATGAAGAGTAATAGACATATAGGCTTGGTTCGTGCATGCTGTCCAAATATCTGTAGTAAGTGCTACTTTACCATTATAATTATTAAAGTATTCTTTAACATTATCACGTTGCTTTTCATAGATTTGTTGTATTTTTGTTGAAATTGTTTGTCGACTTAATAGTTTATATCGAGAATTTAGTTCTGTCACGAAATCACGGAAATCTTCATCTTCGACAACTGAAAATGGTTGCTGATCACGTATAATCCACCGGAGAAGTAGAGTTTCAATTCTTGCAATCTTTTTTGCAGAGTATACTTCAGTTGGCTGGGTAGTAAGTGTAATTTTTTGTTCTATTTCTTTCCATTCGTTCTGATGATTTGTTACAAAATGATTCTTGATCGTGCTAACTCCTGTATTCGGACCATATTGTCTTTGGCATAAGTTACAGAAAATAAAAGTCCTTTCTGTATTCCATGAGAGAGATTGCCAAACTGGATGACAAGGTCTTTTTCTTTTTAATGATCGTGTGTATTCTTCATTATTATTAATGGAATTTGTGTTATTTTCAGCCATTGGATTGAACATTTTAAAAATTCTAGACACTTTTATAAGCTATAACATTTTATTGTTATAAAAAAAAACAAAAGGATTACGTTAACAAAAAGAATGTAGATAACTGTGATGATTGTTTTTTTTTTAACAATTATTGAAAGATTAATAAAATAAGCAAAAGATGTGAATCGTTTTTGTTTTAAACAATTATCGGAGGTAAGTAAAAGATACGAATCGTTTTTTTTCAAACAATTACCAGAGGTAAGCAAAAGATGCGAATTATTAAAAAATTAATAAGTAAGCGATGATCATTTTTTTTCTAACAATTATCAAAAGATTAATAAGGTAAGTGAGTTATAATTATTATTATTTTATTATTTATAAAATTAAAAGTAACATTGTTAATTTATTTTAGATATAGTGTTAAGAATATAGATAAAAATATGTGTTTAAAGAAAGATTTCACTTCCCGGTATTTCGAATTTAATTTTGCTCTTGAATGCATCCTTATAAAGGAATGATGTCGCAAGTTTCTTTTAGATATACTCTAATAGAAGGGTGATGAAAGGCTAGTATATTAATTATTTTTCTATTCTTAGGAATATTAACTTACCTTAGAATGTGTTTTTATCGAAAGTATTGTCGTGAATTTCATTTTTAGATATGCCCTAGCATAAAGGCAATGAAAGATTAATGTAGATTAATTATTCTTGCTATTTCTAGAAATATTAACTTACCTCCCTAAGTATCACGTAGGATGTTCCCTTATCGAAGATATTACGAATTTCAATTTTAGATGTGCCCTAATAGAGGTGATAAAAGGTTAATATATTTAATCATTTTACTATTCTTGCTATTCCTAGAAATATTAACTTACCTCCCTAGTATTATGTAGAATGTCGTTTATCAAAGATTTTGTCCCGAATTTCATTTTTAGATGTGCTTTAATATAAAGGCGATAAAAGGTTAGTATATTTTTTAACCATTTTACTATTTCTGCTATTTCTAGAAATATTAATTTACCTTCCTAGTATCACGTAGAATATGCCCTTATTGAAGATATTGTCGCGAATTCCATTTTATATATGCCTTAATATAAAGGCAGTAAAAGGTCAATATATTTGAATTATTTTGTTATCCTGCCTTCCCGGTATTACAAATTTAATTTATTCATAGGATATGCTCTTATCGAAGGTGTTGTCACGGATTTTGTTTTTAGATAAACTCTAATAAAAGCGTAATTATAGATTTTTCAGATATGCTTTCATTATAATAATTTAAATCCTGATAATACAAATTTCATCGTTGTTATACCTTAATTTCCTACCCAGTCCAAAGTATTTGTATTCGCTATTAAGAAAAAAAAATATTCGACAGGAAAAGCTTCAAAATATAGGTTGCTTTATAAATATATACTGTTGGGATTTTGCAGTGATACAGGTCACGTGACATTCGTATTGTATACTTTCGAACTAATATAAATTAACCGGTTTAACTAGTTTGAGCCTAACCTAAGACTGTTTAAGTTTCAAACCGGGTTAAACTAGTTTTGCCGAACTATTTAACATCCCTACCTGTAGAGAATAATAATACAATTAGATCTCATTTATATGATTTTACGAAATAAATAAATATAAAATTTCTGAATTTAACTTACAATCTACAGCAATAGAGAATAATAATACAATAAGATCATATGATTTACTAAACAAATAACAAAAATGCCCCGAATTTTACTTGCCCCCTAAAAATTTGACGATTAATACAGTTAAATTCCATTCGTATCTTTATGAAACAAATTAAAACAATGTTTTGGATTTAACTTACAATCTACAACAGTAGAAATAAGAATACAATTAAATTTTATTTCTCATGATTTTACAAAACAAATAACGAGATTTTTAGATTTAACTTACCATCTACAATAGAAATAAAAATGCAATTAATAAAATTTACGAAACAAATAAAAAATATCTGTATTTTACTTACCATCTATAAGATTTGACGATGAATACAATTTATATTATGTTATAAAATAAGCAAAAAAAATGTCCTGAGTTTAACTTACAATCTACAACAGTAGAGAATATTATTACATTTAATCTTATTTCATACAATTCGACAAAACAAATAACGAAAAATATCCTGTATTTACTTACCCCCTATAAAATTTGACGATTACGTACGTAATATGGTTACAGTAATATTATTCATATGATTTTGCTCAACAAATAACGAAAAATGTCCTGAATTTAACTTACAATCTTTTTTATGCAACAATAGATAATAAGATACAATTAAATCTCATTTGTAATATTTTACAAATAAAAAATAAGTTTTCTGTTTAACTTACAATCTACGGCAGTAGAGAATAAGTTACAATTAAGTCTCATAATATTATATCACAAACAAACGAAGAAATGTACCAGATTTAACTTACTCACTATAAAATTTACAATCAATACAGTTAATCTCATTTATATGATTTTACAGATCAAATAGCAGAAATACTCTAAATTAACTTACAATCTACAATGGTAGAGAACGAAAATACAATTAGTACTCATTCATTATGATTTTACAAAATAAATAACAAAAATTTCCTTGGTTTAACTTACCCTCTACAACAGTAGAAAATAACAATACAATTAAACCTCATCTTATGATTTGTGAAACAAAAATAGTGAAATATCTGAATAAAATTACCATCTACAACAGCAGGGAATGATAATGCAATTAAGCTCATTTTATATAATTTAATATAATTAATAGAAAAATATCCTGTATTTAACTTACCCGCTATAAAATTTGACGACCAATACAGTTAAATCTAATTTAATAAGATTTTAAGAAATAAATAACGAAAATTTCCTAGATTTAACTTACAATCTACAACGGTAGAGCGTAAGAATAAAATTAAATCGTTTCATATAATTTTACAAAACAAATAACGAAAATGTCATTGATATACAGTACTTACAAACTCCAATGTAGAGAATATGAATACATTAAGTCTAAATTCATGTTATTTCATAAATAATAACAAAATGTTCTGTATTTAACTTACCCCCTATAAAATTTGGCGAGTTATACAATTAAATCTCATGAATATTATTTTGATAAGCAAATAACGAAATGCCCTGGATTTAACTTACACACTATAAAATTTGACGATTAATACAATTAAATCTCATTTCATGATTTTACAAAACCAATAACGAAAATTTCCTGGATTTAACTTACTTTCTACAACAGTAGAGAATAAAAATACAATCAAATTTCATTTCATGTGATTTGGCGAAATAAATAACAAATGTCCTGTATTTAACTTACTCCCTATAAAATTTAACCATCAATACAATAGTCTCATTTTACATTATTACAATATTTGCGAAATAAATGACAAAAATATACTTACTATCTACGAAAGT